CAACGCGATGATCTAGTGGTACCACGATTTGATGACCTTATTTCCTAGTAATATCAATCTTTGCTGTCCCCTAAACGCTCGAACTCAGGAGAATCGGTTCCACAGGCCGTGCATGAGGTGACCTTGTCCCACCACGAGGAATACTATCAATGGAACGAGGCATCGGAAAGCGCATAAGGCGTGGCGCCAGCCTGTTCTCCACCAGTCCTGCTTCCCTGCTAGCTTCCATAGTTGGTGGAGAACATGCCTAGACCGCTCCGAACCAAGTCCTTTCTCCGCTCCCTCTCTCCCCCACTCCTGGGATGACCTAGCGTCCGCAGCAAACAGTAGCAAACAAGATGTAGAAGGAAGCGAGACTGGAAAAAGCTAAACAGAAACTCAAGTTGAATTCAATCCTGACCTTGATTCAGGTTCACTGAATGGATATGGCCCTTGAAATTCGTCTGAACATGGATTGTTGAACGGATAGTTGTGTTGAGAAAATCTGAATAGTCATAGAAAATCAACTATTGAATTTTTCAGCGGTGTTCGCTTTGAGGGGGGGGGGGTGGTGGGTGGAAGCGTTCAAAGGAATGCATGTGTTAAACTGGTGATATAAAGGAAATGAGAACTTTGCTCTAAGCCTAAGAAGGGAAGGAGAAAGTAGGAGGTGGGTGAACCAGTTTCCTTTTGTGAAGATGAAGAGGGGATTTCCGCCACATTAATCCCTGATTCGCAGGGGGAGTTCTTTAAATGCCTCCATGACAAAAAGGGCCAACTTTTCTGTTCAATAAAAGCACATTCCACGATAAGCGGATGTGTGGACGCTCATACGCACTATGCCTTCTTCAGTGGTTCTTTATTACTTCTAAAGCCGTATAGAAACGGTGTGAGTTATGAGCGACCACCTGTTTGCCCATCCCATCCGCCTATCGCAGACTATGCCTTTGATTCTCGTTACCTGACACTTTCACAAAACTCACCCTAAGTCATAATTCCTATTGAGATCGACACCTTCACAAACAGATATCCTTTATGAATCCTGTAGAACCCGTACAATTCGTGGGTGCACGATTCTTTCGCCACTGACGAATCTAAAATACAAATCAATACGATTCAATAAAGCAGCCAACGTGAACAATACCGTTGTTGGCCCTCTTCGATGTTTCGCCATGCTTCTCCCATCTTTCAACTCTTTGGGACTCTCCGATTGGATATATTGAGTCGGTCCATGGCTAATGGCATTTTTGCGGGGAACAGTTACCTTCAGCACTTTACCTATGACGCTGGGAGGCTGTCATCTAAGAGGGGGGGGGAGAGATGGACAGAGGGGAAGGTCGAGCCTGGCCTTGAGGAAAGGTGAAACCCGATGAATTGATTAGAAAGTGCGTGCCCTTCTGCACAAAATTAAACAATCTCGTCAGAAGATTCCCGCGCTGATGAAGCGATAGATCAGAACCTTATTCAGCGCCCAATGCTTCCAGTGCTGACGGCACCCGATGAGACATAGACAGATGGTTTTTCTGTTCTCGCCATCCCCAAAAGTGGAATGTGTCTTCGTGCTAGCCGTCACATTCCAGCGATACAAACATATAAACTTACTATTGATCTTGTTGATGTCCGTGAAAATATGAATCCGTCTGGATTAAGCACGGGAAAAATGTAAATGTCCAATAAATCCACGTAAGCAGTGATTTTGTCGTCCAATTTGTACTTTTGAACCAGCTGGAAATAGTGAGTGGAGAGATAGAGATCACAGAAAAACGAAATAAAAATAAGAATAGAAAACTGAGCGTAAACTATGGAAGAAATAAAACTAAAAAATGGAAAAAGAAATGGTACGCGGAAGTGAAGGGTATTTCAGGAAATTCAGAGGGCAATGCCTCGATAGAGTCGTGGGCGGAGCGATCCGTGACCGGATTAGGCCGCCAGCCATTGAGCCATTGGTGGCCACTCACCGCACACCTCACTGGCTGTCTGTTCGCGGTCCCCTTTCCCCTCCCTTCCTCTACCTTAGTAACCATGCAATGGAATTATAAGTAGATAAAAAGCTGTTAAATATTGACAAATATAAATTAATAAAAAATGCTATATATCACCTGTTCAATAAAGTAGACAGCTACGTGAAATGCTGGCCATTCCCGAGCGTGATTACCACCGTCGAGCCACACGGCTGGTTTGACCCTGTCCATTTTCTTGCCAATCTAAAACAAATACATAGGTCTGTAGAGTTTTTGTATTCTACAAATGAGTGTGCAACGAGAAAGGGTGTACTACAGGGCATTCGTTTTGTAGTGCGCCATGCACTGAACTTTCATTCATAATCGCGATGCATTCACCGCTTATCAGTGCATTCTTAGGACACAGCACGTATTCTAGTCTAATCTAGCTCTAGTTTTCAGTGTTTTCATCCCATCAGGCAAACCTGATACCAATTTACGTAGGGGGTTAGAAAGCCCGGCTGAACTGAGCGGGAGCCGGAAGTTGACCCCTGAGCCGAGCCAGGGAAACGCGCCACTTGCCCCTTCACCGCCTCCGCCCCTTGGAAATCAAACAGCAGACGAGGATGATAGAGAAGATCATTTGTTCCTGCTTTGAAATCTGAGTCTTCCATTAATTAATTACGAAAACTGGGAGTTGAGTGGTCCGGACGAGTTCTCTAGTGCGAAATATGCGCTTCCTGACCAGCACAGAGATGTCAATTATGGATTGTGAGCCCCAGAAGCCAAGTGCCTTCCATATGGCCAGGGTGTACTTATATCGGTCATTTTTGTCTTGAAGTAGCGTTCAGCTTCCGGGATGCCGCGTTGCGACGCGCGTCGATGAGCCTCATCGCGAAGTCTAAACGCTGCCTCACAGAAAAACGCGGTATAAATGGAGGGATGCTGTAGAGATGGGAAGTTTGATTGGTTTTCGATCAGGGTACGGGCTACTCTGCTTTTGCATGCACTGACTCCCCCTCCCCCCTTTCACCCTAACCTCTTAAAGGCTGCTAAAAGCATTGCTTTGCTAGAACACCTAATTACTCAGGGACTACCGTACTTGATGAATTCTCAACAGTCGTGTTCAGTTGGCTGCTAGGAGGTAAAAGCCTCTATTATGAAGTGAAGGGATATGAAATCCCAGCAGAAAACAAAGATATCTATCTTTTCTGGTGTTTTAGCAGCCCCTCTCCACCATAATGACGTTATAGGGGACTTTGGAGGAACGGAAGTTGAGGAGTTAGCTCACGTTGTACTTTTGGGTCGAGGGGACTGTGCAGACCAGCCGATTCTCCTCATCGCAATGGCGGCCCCACTTGTAGTTCCCTTTCAACCATCGTTGTAAACCGTGACGGCAACTACGAGGATTCCTCCGAGACTTTTTCCTTCTCCAAGCTTCAAAGTGGAACTTTCTCCCAACTTCCATTATCAGCAGCCCTTTGAAGTTTTTTTTACTTATTCCACCTGCACGCAAAGAAAGAGAATGCGAAGAAAGTGTAAAGGGCAACGTATGACCTTGAGTAAAGCAAAAGAGCTCCATCATTTCCAAGCACTGTTCGGACAGGTTTCAAAGGCAATTTGACAATGAGTGTGATTAACGCGAAAGTGTCAGCAGATAAAATCGACAAAGCGGAAATTCTGTGTAATCGTCTCGTTTGAAACTCGAGAATATGTGCCATTACAATAGCAGATA